ACGTCACAGAAATATCTATCGTAAAAGGAATTTTTAGAAATAATTTTCTCGTCATTAATCGGTTGCAAAAGATCAAGAGGCACTCGAAGCAAGCCCTGACAAACTTATAAGCGGCGCCAGCGGAGATCTCCAACTGGCTGCGGTACCACCATGGACACTTACGTAACCTCCTTTTCCAGAATTGTCAAAATGACATTGCCAAACTCAAAGCAATCATGAATTAAGCATTTCATTTTAAATTCAGTTAGTATCAAGTGGTACATGGTATTCGTATTTTGGGTTGCGTAAAAATAATTTTCAGAAATAATTTTCTCGTGACTAACCCTGTATATGTATTTTTTTACAGCCACATATGGTACAACTGAATTTTTCTTCAGTACAATACTAGTCACATAATAATAATTAAAAAATAAGTTTTTAGTTGCATAAGTACCTACATTTCTTAGATTTCCCGGTAACACAAAATTATTCTTGACGCTCTAATAAAAGTTTTTGCAATATATATTTACAATACACGTAAACCTTTCTCAAACCCTGTAAAAGATCCGTTGCAATTTACAAGGGATTAAAATAAGTATTATATCCGTCCAGTGGAATTTACATTCGCTGCATATGGATACTCTAGATGTACTATTAGTTCATAAATTTTATTGTTTGGTGATATGTATAAAGACAAGAATAGACAATAGAGGCAATTCTATATCAAAATGTGTTAAAATTTAAAGGTTGTTAAAAATATGATTTTTTAAATAATTGTAGTCTAGTTAAGAACAATAAAAACTTGTTTTTATGTTGAGTACTTATTATAATGAAGCTAGTTCCTATAATATAATAGGTAAAATAAGCAACGAGATAAATAGAAACAATCTCTTAAAAAAAATAACCAAAATGACAATTTATTAATAAAAAATCTTATGTAACGAGGTGTTTACGCTCGTATTTTTTAATTTTTAAAGTGCAACTACAAACTTCGTCACTTATCTATATTCAAATTGTTTTTAATTCGATATTTACACCTTACCTGATTGCTAAATTTATTGCAACTTAAAATTCAGAATACAAAATATTTAGTTTTAATAAAAGAAAATACTTCCCGATGAATTTTACCTTGCGATCAATTGACGCTGCGATAAATTTACGTACGATCTATTGTCGCTGCGATCAATTTACGTGCGACCAATTGTCGCTGCGATCAATTGTCACCGCGATCAATTGTCGCGTGCGACCAATTGTGCTGCGACGAGTTGCTTGCGATCAATTGTCGCGCGATCAATTGTTTGCGACCAGTTGTCGTAGAATCGTTTTTGAGTGTCGTGTTATTCAAAGAATACTATGTATATTAAAAAAAATTAAAGCGAAAGATTAAGCCCCATCTATACCTGACCTAATCTAAATATTAATGAAGTTTTCATTCGTTGGCAAACCTAGGGGCGGAGCCTAATTACAAAATCCATATTTTCTTACAAAAATTTACCATTTTAAAGGTGTTTTAAGTTTCTAAGAATAAAAAAATTGTAACAATTTAGATAGGGTGGGTGGGCGGTATCTATATTTTGCATTTTTTTCTTAAAATACATAGAATTCGTCGAACAACCCGATATTCAAAAATATGTTTTTAATTTTTTGTAAAGAAATAAGTAATTTGCAGTTAAGCTCCGCCCCCTTAGCTCACGGCTAATAAAAAAATCATTACAATAGAGATAGGGCGGGTGGCATACATTTTGCCTTTTTGTTTTAATATGTGTAGAAGTCTTTTCACAATAAGAAACTTAAAATGGAAAATTTGTATAAGGAAATATTGATTTTGCAATTAGGAGTACTATTTTAAACACGTTTTCAGTTTCTTGTTATGGAAAAAAAACAATATATTAAGAAGAAAAAAAACTGCAAAACATAAGCCCCACCCACCCACCCTGTCTCTATTGGGACGCTTTTCTTTTGTTCCTCGTTAGTCAAGAAGGGCGGAGCCTAATTGCAGAATCCGTATTTTTCTAAAAGAATTACCATGTAAAACATGTTCTTTAGTGATAGGTTTTTGAATATCGTGTTATTCAAAGAATACTATGTATATTAAGAAAAATTAAAGCGAAAGATTAAGCCCCATCTATACCTGACCTGATCTAAATAGTAATGAAATTTTCATTCGTTGGCAGACCTAGGGGCGGAGCCTAATTGCAAAATCCATATATTCTTACAAAAAATTATACCATTTTAAACGGGTTTTAAATTTCTAAGAATAAACAATTTATCACAGTTTAGATAGGGTGGGTGGGGGGGAGTCTATCTTTTGAATTTTTTTCTTAATATACATAGTATTCCTTGAACAACCCGATACTCAAAAATATGTTTTTAATTTCTTGTAAAGAAATAAGTAATTTGCAGTTAAGCTCGGCCCTCTTAGGTCACGGCGAATAAAAAAATCATCACAATAGGGATAGGGCGGGTGGGCGGGCTTACATTTTGCCTTTTTGTTTTAATATGTGTAGACGTCTTTTCACAATATGAAACTTAAAACATGTTTAAAATAGAAAATTTGTATAAGGAAATATTGATTTTGCAATTAGGAGTACTATTTTAAACATGTTTTCAGTTTCTTGTTATGTGAAAAAACAGTATATATTAAGAAAAAAAAAATGCAAACATACAAAATATGAATGCAATGATAAATTACGAATATATACTGATCATCAAGTTTTTGGGCTGGATATATTTTGATTAAAAAGCTAACATGCCATACAGTAACTTCAAAACGTCTGCAATATTTCAAAATTCAGTTTTGCAATTCTTGATTCAATCAATAAAATAAATTGACTCAGTGATTAATTTTTTTGAGACACCCCCTATAAACAAAACTAAAAAATATAAATGGAACGATAAATCACAAGTTTTAGAAAGGATTCATTTGGCAAAATTTTGGGCTGACGTCATCAATTTTTTGGAGGGGATAAGTAAATATATTTTGCATAAAAATTTATTATGCTTATCATATGTTTAAAACATCTGCAAGATTTCAAAGCATTCGGTTTTGCAGATTCAAAATTAAATTGTAGGTGAAACGAAGTTCACGGGGTCAGCTAGTACCACAGATAAATGGAAACGGTGAAGCTACTTAGACAAACACTTTTAGAAATGTTATGACCTCTAAAATAGCACTATAGATTTCTCAAAACTATTCATCAATCATGCATCACGTGCATCGAAAATTTTCGATAATAATTAGTCATAACCGCTGATAGCAGTTAGTAAAAAACTAAATCTTATCATCCGCTCAAAAACCAAACTATCATCGCCACATATAAAAACCCTTCGACACTCAACCCTCAATCAGTCAACCTGTAGCTCTCAACCAGCAAAATGTCCATCGAAGGAACCTTCCAGCACGTCAGGAACGAAAACCTCCTGGAATATTTCAAGTCCGTGGGTAAAACAACCACTTGTTACAAAATTTTTGCATTGATTGACTAATTTGCTTCCATAGGCGTTCCCGAAGATAGAGCCAAGCAAGTCGACTCTGCCAAGCCCAAGCTTGAAGTGGTCGTTGATGGGAAGAAAATTTTAATGCACAGCGACTCTGGGGCCGAGAAGCATACCTTGACTTTCATATTGGGCGAAGAAGTAGAGGAACGGATGTATAATAACACCACCATCAAAGTGAGTATCCAATCTGGCGTGCTTTTGCGCTAAATAACTTTGGTTTCATTTTTAAGAACACGGCCGAACTTGACGGAAGCACCTTGACTGTCAAGTCGAAGATGGCCAACGGAAAGTCTGGCGCGAGGGTATTTAAATTCTCTGACAGTGAACTCGTTATGGTAAGGAGGAGTTTAAGAGTTGAGGGGTTTTGAATGTTTTTTGCAGACGCTGTACGAGGACGGAGGAAGTATCGTGGCCAAGAGGTTCTTCAAGAGGGTCTAGGATTTTTTTTTATGTATGTGAATTGATGAAATAAAACGAATTTAATATTTAATCGCGTTTTAAGATAGTTTACATAACTTACGCATTAAGATAAAAATATAAGAGTTCTTATAATTTCGAGTGTGCAATTTTTAGAAAAGGTAATTACTTTGGTTTGATTTCTTGATACTAAAATGTACTATTTTAGTTGACTGCATTTATGACAGTAATGATGAAACCATTCATGTCCTAAAGTGTATTCGGTTGCCTAATTTCTCTCTGAAAATAAAATATAATTTTCATTGTACACCCGTTAGTTTCGTGTACTTAGACAAACACTTTTACAACTTTTAAGACCTCTAAATCGTACTATAAATTTATCTGAACAATGCACAATACATGCATCACGTGTATTTAAAACTTTAGATAATAATTATATGCATAGTCATAACCACTGACAGCAGTTGTTAAAAAACTACAAACATCACCGCAACATATAAAAACCCTCGGCGACTCAACCCTCCATCAGTCAACCTGCAAGTTCCCAAAATGTCCGTCGGAGGAACCTTCCAGCTCGTCAAGAACGAAAATTTCGTGGAATATCTCATAGCTCTGGGTAAAACAACCCATTGTTACAGGATTTTTGCATTCATTGACTAATTTGCTTCCGTAGGCACTCCCGAAGATAAAGCCAAACTAGCAGAGTCACACAAGTCCACGGTTCAAGTGGTCCTTGATGGGAAGAAAGTTTCACTGAACAGCGATTCCGGAGTCAATAAAACTTCGTCGACTCTTACATTGGGCGAAGAAGTAGACGAACCGATGCCTAATAACACCATCCTCAAGGAAAGTATTAAATCTGGCGTCTTTTAGCACTAAATAACTTTGGTTTGATTTTTAGAGCACGGCCAAAATTGACGGGAGCACCTTGACTATCACGTCGAATTCGCCCAACGGAAAGTCTTTCTCCAGGGTCTTTAAATTCTCTGATAGTGAACTCGTTCTGGTAAGGCGGAGTTTAAGAGTTGAGGGGTTTTGACTGTTTAAGGACTTTTTGCAGACGCTGGACGGAGGAAGTGTTGTGGCCAAGAGGTTTTACAAGAGGGTCTAAGATTTTCTTATTTATTGGGGAGTGAATTTGGAGTCATTTGTATATGAGTTGATGGAATAAAACAAACTTCATATTAATCGTGTTTTAAGTGCCACTTTAGACCTTACTCAATATTTGCAGATAGAGCTGCAACGATTATAGAGGAGATAGTTTACATAATTTACGCATGAAGATAAGATAGCAAAACTAAAAATATAAAGAATAAGGTGAAAATGTAACAGTTGTAATAATTAAGGAAATATATATTAGAACTGTGATAACTAGTGAAGAATTACGATTAGTTCGTGAGGACTTACATCATCAGCACGTATGTTACATTCAACAAGACTGAAAATGTCACTTTTGCAAATAATTCAAACTCTGACAGCTTTAATAATTTTAGAAAAGCAGTATATTAACCAAGTTACAATGTTTAAAAAAACAAAGAAATTATTATTATTATTATTAAGACCCACCACTGACCCGGAAATGACCGGCATTCAGGCAAGACTTCTATCATTACGGGTACTAAGACCAAGTAAGGATATGCATTGATTAGATTAACAAAACAACTTTCGAGATTCCAGAATTACAGTATACAAATTAATCTGCTATTATTCTCTAATCTCACCCCATCCCCAAAAGTGTAGTGTAACTACCGATCATTTATCCGCGCATCACTTGGAATGTGACCTACACTACTCTGACCTACTGGTGCTAATCTAATCTGACTGACATGATCAGACTGTTCGAGAAACTTACGAGCAATATGACATGTTCCTAACAAAACAGCTTTTTGAATTTTGGCAATTATTGAATAATTCAAATGCAAAGTCTTTAAATTCTCAACTAAGCTATTTGGGACTACACCTACATTAGAGATAACTAAGGGTAGAATTGATTTTTTTTTAAGATTCAACATGGATTTCATTTCTATCGATAGTTGTAGATATTTTGAAATCTTGGTGTGGTATGTTTGAATAATGTTGTTTGTGTTAGGAATAGCAATGTCAATGAGAATGGCTTCGTTCGTGTGTTTTTTGATAAGTATGATGTCTGGTCTGTTAGCTGTAATGTTTAAGTCTGTAAGTATTGTGCGATCCCAGTATAATTTGTATTTGTAATTTTCAAGGAACGGAGATGGAATGTAAGTGTAATAGGGTGTCGTATCTTCGATTAGGTTCATAAGTGTTGCTAATTTTTTGTGAATGATTTTGGCTGCGTTGTCGTGTCTAACTTTGTAGTCAGTTTGTGCCAGGATGTTGCAGGAGGAGATTATGTGCTGGATCGTTTCAGGTTTTGCTTTGCAGAGGCGACAGCAGTCGTTTCTTATATTCGGATCTTTGATGATGTATTTTCTGTAATTCTTGGTATTAATTACTTGGTCTTGAATAGCAAACACAAATCCTTCTGTTTCGGCATACAAACTTGATTTTTTTAACCAAATCAATGACATCTTCTTATTAACATGAGTTTCTTCTAAGTCTTTGTAGAATTCTCCATGTAGTTGTTTTTGTTTTAGCCCACTTATTATTTTGTCTATTGTGTGGGGGGTGTGGATTTTTTCAGTGTTCGACAGATTTAAGGGTGTGTGGTTCAAATCTGCTCTTGTGATGGTGCGAAACATTTCATTTCTTTCCGCTCGTTTCAAGAAATACTTCTTCAGATCTGAGATTTGTCTCTGATATAAGTTTTCTAGGTTCTGGAAACCTCTTCCTCCATTCTGTCTTGGCAATGACAATCTTTCAATCGACGATTTTGGATGATGCCTTCTATACTGTGTGAAGATTTTCCTTGTTGCGATGTTTAAATTTTCAAAATCAGTTTTGGACCATTTAATGACTCCAAAAGAATATGTTAGCAGTGGAACGCAGAATGTATTTATTGCTTTCATTAAATTTTTTCCATTTATCTGTGTCTTCAATATTAATTTTAATCTCGCTAGGTATGGATCTTTCAATTGTGTTTTCGTTTTGGTATGATTGAGTGGGAGGATTGACAGAAACCCAGATATTTGTATGTATCATTTCGTTCTTGGGCTTCGATTATTTCGTTATTCTGGGTTATATGTGGTACTTGGTGTTGGACGCCTTTTCTGATTGCTTAGGTCTTACATTTCTCAATACCAAAACGAATACCAATATCACCGGAAAACTGTTCAGCCAGATTTAATAGATTTGTTAACTGATTTTGTGTACTTGCATATATTTTTATGTCATCCACATACAGCAAGTGACTTATTCTGTTTTCTCTTTGTTTGTTAATTCTTATATTGAACCCATAAGTGCAGCTGTTCAGGATATCAGAGAGGGGATTTATTGCTAAGCAGAACCATAACGGGTTAAGAGAATCACCTTGAAAAATTCCTCTTCGGATCATTATTGGATCTGACTGAATTGTTTGTTTATTTAAGGTTATTTGGAGGATGGTCTTCCAAAATTCCATGAAACATTTGAGAAAAGTGCAGATTTTAGTATCAATTTTGTATAATTCCAGAATTTTGCATAGCCAGGAATGAGGGACAGAATCGTAAGCTTTCTTATAATCAATAAAAGCAGTATATATGTTTCGGTTTTCTTTTCTAGCTTGTTCACAGATGATGGAATCTATGATTAATTGCTCTTTGCAACCAAAGGATCCTTTAATACATCCTTTCTGTTCTTCATTAATGATGTCAGAGTTAAAACAGTGTTGATAAATTTTTTTGTGTAATGCATGAGGTTAATATTTTATAGATTGTCGGTAAACATGTGATAGGTCCGTATTTTGATGGATTTTTTGTGTCGTTATCTTTAGGTTTTAGGTATGTTACACCATGACATAATAATGTTGGAAAGGAGGATGGGTCTAGAAGGAACTGATTTAAGTGATGTAGTAAATGAATATGTATACAATTTAATTTTTTTATCCAAAAATTATGGATTTTTCCTGGTCCTGGTGATTTCCAGTTGTGTGTCTTATTGATGGTATTTATTAATTCGGCAAGTGTTATCTGATGATCATTCATTGGTGTAACTGTGGATAGTTTATGGGATATATGAGGAATCCATTTGGCAGATTGGCTAAATTCAAATTCTTGAGACCAAAGTTTTGACCAAAATGTTGTTACATCCTGTGAACTTGGAAGCTCACCGGATAATTGAGTTTTGCTTGAATTTGTTAAATGTTGATAGAATAGTTTTTCCTTGTTTAAAAATTTAGTGTTATGAATTTTTCTGAGATGTGGTTGTTTGTATCTTTTAAGTCGTTTGCTATATAAGGAAAGTTTTTGTAATAGGGTATCTTTAATTTGGGATAGTGTTGTGTTGTACTAATCGTAATCAGTTTGATGAAAATTATTGTTGGTCAGTATCGAATGCATACATGTCATTATATGTGGTGATTTAACTCCTCTAAGGTACTGTGTTATTTGACCTAGTTGTTTTCTAATGTTATTAATTTTATAATTTAACCGTGTTTCCCAATGAGGGGTGGAAGGTATACGATTGGTGTTTGTATTTATTATGTTATCTTTACATGTGTTAATTTGAATACAAGTTAAAGCTGCACAGTAGATAATTGTATGAAGTTTTTCAAAAGAGATCGAGTTTGTGAGATATTTTGGTAAAATGATTATGTTTAGAATAATCTTCAATTATGACATTTCAATCAAATAAAGAATAATATAAAAAATATCTAAACTGTTAAATACGCTCCAGTTTTTGTCGACGAGTGATTAAAGAACATGGCCGAAGATTTATCAGCATTAGTAGCGGCCCTTAGTGGATTGGTGTCTACATTACAAAAACAACGAACATCGACTGCAATTGTACAAGAAGTTTTGCAGACCCAGGCTATAACTTACGACGGATTTGATGAAAGCGTTGAAAATTTTGAGAGTTACAGTCAGACTCGAAAACTTTTTCAAATTAAGAGGTTTGCATAAAAACGACAAAAAAACTAGTGATGCCAAAGTTATGGTATCAATAAATTAAAGATAAAAAAATAAAATAAGAAGAATGGTGACATTAGACTGTGTGCTGATTACAAAGTAATCAGCATAAATATTTCTGTACATTACACGAATACAAACAATTTCAACTCATGGAGGTAAAAAAAAAAACACGACTCTTCTTTGATATCAAAACGGCTCCAAATGAATTTCATAAAGTCATCGATCGAACTGTTCACGATTTAGAAGGTTCCACAGCGTATTTTGATGATATAATGGTTCAAGGTTCTTCTATTGAAGAATGTAAATTTCGTTTAATTAAAGTTCTTGAACGATTACGTAAATATAATCTGCATCTGAATCGAGAAAAATGTCAATTTTTCAAGAAGAGGATTCAACATTTGGGTCATGTCGTTTCAGAAAAAAGACTCGAAAAATCTGAAAATAAAATCAAAGCGATCATAGAAGCACCAAGGCCGAACTCTTTAGAAGAACTTCAACGTTTTCTTGGAATGGTGATGTATTATACAAAATTTATTCCCAGTGCATCCAGCATGTTATATCCATTAGACCGTCTGTTAAGAAAAGACACAAATTTTAAATGGTCTATCGAATGTGAAACAGCATTCAAAAAAGCCAAAACTGAAATAGCCAGTGAACGAGTTCTCATGTCTTTTACACCTTATTTAGACATAACATTTGCCACAGACGCCAGCCCGTATGGACTTTCAGGTATTTTGTCACATCGTTTTCCAGACGGATCTGAAAGACCAGTTGCTTTTGCATCCAGGTCGTTGACAAAAGCTGAACGTAGTTATAGTCAATTAGATAAACAGGCAACAGCCATTTATTGGCGTTTCAAAAGATTTTTCTTTTATATTTATGGAAGGAAATTTGTTCTAATTGTGGATAATAAACCACTGAGTATTATTTTAAATCCTCGAAAACAACTTCCAGCCTTATCTGCAACCAGAATGTTAAGATATGCACAATTTTTATCCGGTTTCAATTATTCCAACGAATGTCGAAAATCCAGTGAACATGTAAATATTGATTATTTCTCCAGAACTCCATTGAAATTATCACCAAAAGAAGAAGAAAAAACTGTCGATGAATACGTGTTAAATACGATTTTAATTAATCAGATTGGTACGGAAACAGTCACAGCTCATGAAATTGAAAAAGAAACAAGAACAGATCCAAAATTATGTAAAATGAAGAAAGAAATTCTAAATGTAACCGGAAGAGATCTAGAATTTTCACTGCACGATCGAATAATATTTAGAGGACATCGTGTGGTAATTCCAAAAAAATTACAACACATTATTCTACGCGAACTTCATTCAACACACCTAGGAATGGTTAAAATGAAATATCTAGCAAGAAACTATTGCTACTGGAAAGGCATCGATTCTGACATCGAAAATATGGTTAAAAGTTTGTCGTGATGTTAAGAAAAATCCTAAATAGGCATTGATTCATCAATGGGAAATACCAGAAAAGAATTGGCAACGTGTACACATGGATTATGCAGGCCCATTTTAAAACCATCATTTTCTAATTCTTCTTGATGCCAAATCCAAATGCCAAACAGTATCAATAACTACAGACCCATAGCGCTTATGTCAAATTTTACAAAATTATTTGAGCGTGTTCTATCCGACGCTTTGTATTCACATGTTAGTAATGCCATCTCTGATGACCAGCATGGCTTTGTCCAAGGCAAATCTACGGTAACTAATCTTTTTCGATTTACGTAAATGGCTTCTCTGGCAATTGACAACAGACTACAGATTGATGTCGTATACACAGATCTAAGCAAAGACTTTGACAAGGTTCATTTTAGTAATTTTGGGTTATGTAACAGTTTAGTACTATTAATTAAGTCACTCTTGGTAAACAGGCGTCAGATATAGAAGATAGTATACAGGGTGTTTGCAAAATGCACCGACAAAAAAAACTGAAAATTGGTCCGGATGAGTGGAAATCATTACGACAAAAATGTTCTAATACAAGTGTTTTAGTTTTCAAAATAAAGTTGATGAAAATTTGGTCAAAATAGCATGTAAGTTAATCGTGATTAAAAAGATAATGTGGTTACTAAGAACACTTTGGCAACTTTTATGACCTCTAAAATCACACTATTAATTAATTCCAACCATGCACTATCATGCATTACGTGCATTCAAAGCTTTAGATAATAAATTAGTCGTAACCACTGATAGCACTTCGTAAAAAACTAAATCTTATCTTCTGCTCAAAAAGCGAATTATCATCGCCACTTAGCCCTGCATCAGTCAACCTGCAAGTTTTCAACCACCAAAATGTCCGTCGGAGGAACCTTCCAGCATGTCAAGAACGAAAACTTCGTGGAATATCTCACGGCCCTCGGTAAAACAACCACTATTACAGGATTTTTGCATTGATTGACTAATTTGGTTCCGTAGGCGTTCCCGAAGATAAAGCCAAACTAGCCGACTCATTCAAGCCCAAGCTTCAAGTGGTGGTTGATGGGAAGAAAGTTTCAGTGAACAGCGACTCTGGAGTCGAGAACTCTTCTTCGACTTTCACATTGGGCGAAGAAGTAGACGAACCGCTGCCGAATAACATCACCCTCAAAGTAAGTGTTAAATCTGGTGTCTTTTTGCGCTAAATGACGTCGGTTTGATTTTTAAGAGCACGGCCAAAATTGACGGGAGCACCTTGACTGTCACGTCGAAGTCGCCTAAGGGAAAATCTGGCTCTAGGGTCTTTAAATTTTCTGATAGTGAACTCGTTGTGGTAAAACGGAGTTTAAAAGTTGAGGGGTTTTGAATGTTTGAGGATTTTTTGCAGACGCTGAGCGAGGACGGAGGAAGTGTTGTGGCCAAGAGGTTTTACAAGAGGGTCTAGGATTTTTTTATTTATGTGGAGTAATGAATTAAAAGTCATTTGTATATGAACTGATGGAATAAAACGAAGTTAATATTTAATCGTGTTTTAAGTGTCACTTTAGACCTTAATATTAGCACATAGAGTTGCAACGATTATAGAGGAGATAGTTTACATAACTAACGCAATAAGATAAGATAACCAAACTAAAAATATAAAGAATAAGGTGAAAATGTACCAGTCGTTATAATTAATAATATACAAATATTGTCTTACTTGTTCTCTGGCATTTAACAACAACAGGGACAATTGTTCCCCTTTTCCATAGTGAAATACTTTATGAGAATAGTCACCACTTTTTGAGCACGGGAGCTAAAAATTTTGCCGGTCATGTTTACTTTTGCCGCAAAAGAACAAAAAAACGTTAACAAAACAAAAACATAGAACAAACAAGACAAATAATAAACTAGGTTAGTTCTGATAAGAATTGTCTTGGGAAATAGAGGATAACAACCAAAAACACTGAAGTAAAACCGAAAACGTCGATGAAACTTGACGAAAAAGTGACAAATTTTAACGAAAATCCCTCATTCGACTACAGGAGTATCTTACGTACAGAGACATTGCATAGTTTCGTCTCTTTTCAAGTCAAGGAATTTTGTGAAATAGAGTAATTGGCATGTTGCGTAGCATTGGTAGTCATACATTTCGTTTGTCTACTGCCCATTATTCCACCACGAAAAAGTGGGGAGCTACTTAGACAAACACTTTTACAACTTTTATGACCTCTAAAAACGCACTATTCATGCATTCCGTGCATTCAAAGCTTTAGATAATAAATTAGCCATAAGCACTGATAGCTGTTAGTAAAAAACTAAATCTTATCTTCCGCTCAAAAAGCAAACCATCATCGCCACATATAAAAACCCTTCGACACTCAATTCTTCACCATTCAATTTGCAAGTCCCCAACCACCAAAATGTCCGTCGGAGGAACCTTCCAGCACGTCAAGAACGAAAACCTCGTGGAATATTTCAAAGCCCTAGGTAAAACAACCGCTTGTTACAGGATTTTTGCATTGATTGACTAATTTGCTTCCGTAGGCGTTCCCGAAGATAAGGCCAAACTAGCCGACACATTCAAGCCCAAGCTTCAAGTGGTCGTTGATGGGAAGAAAGTTTCAGTGAACAGCGACTCTGGAGTCGAGAACTCTTCCTCGACTTTCATACTGGGCGAAGAAGTAGACGAACCGATGCCGAATAACGTCACCCTCAAAGTAAGTATTGAATCTGGCGTCTTTTTGCACCAAATAACTTTGGTTTGATTTTTAAGAGCACGGCCAAAATTGACGGGAATACCTTGACTGTCACGTCGAGGGTGCCCAACGGAAAGTCTGGCTCGAGGATTTTTAACTTCTCTGATAGTGAACTCGTTGTGGTAAGGCGGAGTTAAAGAGTTGAGAGGTTGTGAATGTTTAATGATTTTTTACAGACGCTGAAGGAGGACGGAGGAGGTGTTACGGCCAAGAGGTTTTACAAGAGGGTCTAGAATTATTTTATTTATGGGGTGGTGAATTAAGAGCCATTTGTATGTGAACTGATGGAATAAAACAAAGTTAATAGTTAATCGTGTTTTAAGTGCCACTTTAGACCTTAATATTAGCAGATAGAGCTGCAACGATTATAGAGGAGATAGTTTACATAACTTACGCATTAAGATAAGATAACAAAACTAAAAATATAAAGAAAACGGTGACAATGTAAGATTTCTTATAATTTCGAGTGTGCAATTTTTAGAAAAGGTAATTACTTTGGTTTGATTTCTTGATACTAAAATGTATTATTTGATTTAACACGTTGGTTTTGAAGCACTAGAGTTGAAATCTGTAGGTAACATCTACAGAGAGCCTAAAGGTAATATCAGTTTGTACTAAAATTGTACAGAGACCACTGATAAGTAACGTGCAAAAATAACGTCAACATATACATCTGTGGGACAAATCTCCGAGATCATGGTACCTTCAAGCTTCAAACACACGATCGTGGCCGTGATACAACCGAAAGATTACCGCAAGCCGAAGAAAAAATGGGTTTCCAAAACAAATATTTTGAAAATTTTGACCCGGTAGTTTAAACACGCTATATATTTCCAACCAGCGCGTGAAAATTCACATCCTAGAACTTTTTAGGAGTTTTTCGGCAACTTTTTCAAAAGCAAAATTTTGGTCCATTGTCTTGTATATTTTGACAGCTACAACTTACTTTCGGCCCCATTTTTTCGATAACTCCTAACATTTTTCTAGAATCGCCATTTGGAAATAAATATGGCAATTTTTAGCATTTCTCAAAAAAAAAACGGAATTCCAAACCAAATATTTCCGAAGTGTTCACCGGGATCTTAAATAAGCCATATTTTTGGAATCAGCGCGTCGAAATCTATATCTCAAAATTTTTTAGGAAGTTTTTCAGAAACAAAGTTTCTCAGTACTAAAGATTGTAGATTTCGATCTCCAGAAGTTACTTTCGGCTCAATTTCTTCTATATCTGCTACCATTTTTCCAGAATCGCCAATTGAAACAAGGTCATTTTTAGAATTATTCAGAAAACCGAAATCGACATTCCAGAATTTTTAAGCATTTTTCGATAACTTTTTCAAAAGTAAAGTTTCTCAATACCCTTCTCTTATGAAAATTTCGGCCCACTTTCTACCAATTTCGAAATTCATCTAAGGATATTTTCTTGTAGATTTAGACCCCCAGAATTTACTTTCGGCTCCATTTCTTCCGTAACTCCTAACATTTTTTCAAAATCACCAGTTGAAATTCGGTTGAGTTTCGAAAACGAATATTATTACAAACACTTTTGGATTTAGCTTTTCAGAGACACCAACGAACAATTTTTTTATTCTTAATTACCATTATTTCAATACCTGAAATAGAAAAAAAGTTGTAACCCAGAACAAGAGAGTTTAAAAATGATACAACTTCAGAATTCTAATATTTGTGTAAATCACAAACTGGTGTCGAATATTATGGTATTAATTTTTTTAATAATTCGCTAAAAATGTCCAAAATTTGCCGTTTAAGACGTTTAAATATTGAATATACTTTTATTGAAGAATTTTTTAATGGGCCAAAGCTGTGTGTTATAAATTATAAGCATCAATAAAATATTCTATTATATTCTTTTCTATTCGGCATATTATGTTCACAATTTAAATAAGATTTATTTGGAGAAAAGAAAAGAAAATGTCGAGCCATTTTCGACCATTTTCAGAATTGAACTAGAGACTTTTTTGTTATAGAATTCGAACTCTAAAAATAGCTTGCGGCTTTATTTCTTCGATAATTCTTGCCATTTTCCCGGAATCTTGAATTGAAGTTAGACGATTTTGAGGATTTTCCAAAAGAAATGGGTTTCCAAGCCGAATATTTTCAAAATGTTTACCAGAGACCTCACACACGTTATAACTTTGGAACCAACGCGTCGAAATCTACATCCTAGAATTTGTCAGGAATTTTTTGACATCTCTTCCAAAAATAAAATTTTTTTATACAATTTACAAGTGCGTCGAAATCTACATCTCTGAATTTTTTAGAAATATCTGGGCAACTTTTTCAAGGTAAAATTTCTCAATATACTACTTTATGAAAATTTCTGTCCATTTTCTACCGTTTTCAAAATTCAACCAAAGACATTTTCTTGTAGATTTCGACCTCCAAAAGTTAATTAAGTCCCCATTTCTTCGGTAACTACTACCATTTCACTATAAACGTCGATTGAAATATAGTAATTTTTAGAGTTTTTCAAATAAATTGGCCTCCAAACCACCTAGTTCCAAAATTCTGACCCAGGAATCAGCGTGACGAAATCTGCCACTCGGAATTTTTCGGCAACTTTTTCAAAAGTAAAATTTGTCAACACCCCTCACTTTATAAAAATTTATACCCATTTTCGACGACTTTTGAACTTCAAATAAAGACACTTTCATGTAGATTTCGACCTCTAGAAGTTGTTTTCTGCTCCATTTCATCGATACCACCTATAATGTTTCCAGAATCTCCCGTTGAATTATTATAGCAATTTTGTAGGATTTTTCAAAAATATGGGTATCCAAACCGAAGTATTTTGACTCGGGACCTTAGACATGCTATATTCTTGGTATCAGTGTGCCGAAATCTACTTCCCAGAATTTTTCAAGAATTTTTCGGCAACATTTCCAAAAGTAAAATTTCCCAATAAATTAAATTGAATTTCCAAAATTATCGAAAATTTCGGCCCATTTTCGGCCATTTTCGTAATTCAACTAAAGACATTTTGCTGTAGATTTAGAATTCTAGATGTTGTATTTAGCCCCAATTATTCGAAAACTCCTATAATTTTTCCACAATCGTCAATTTAATCATGGCAATTTTTAGGATTTTTCAAAAAAATGGATCTCCAAACTACATATTTCCAAACATTTTTACTTGGGACACGCTATATATTTGCAAGGGCGACGGAATCTACATCCCAGAACTTTTATAGAAATTTTTCGCCAATTTTTTCGAAAGCTAAATTTCTCAATATCCTTTTATGAAAATTTGGCCCCAATTTCGACCATTTTCGAAATTTAATTAATGACACTTTTTCAGAAGTTACTTTCGGCCCCATTTCTGCGATAACTCCTACTATTTTTCCATAATCGCCAAATAAAAATTGCAATGCTTAGGATTTAATGTTCTCTAATGAAAATGTCGGTCTTTTTTCGACAATTTTCTAAATTCAACAAACAGTTTCTTGTATATTTTGTCCTATTTTGACCATTTTCGAAATTCAACTAAAGATACTTTCATGTAGATTTCGACCTCTAGAAGTTGTTTTCAGCTCAATTTCACCCATATCTCTTATGATTTTTCCAGAATCTGCCGTTGAATTATTACAGCAATTTTGTAGGATTTTAAAAAAAATGGGTATCCAAACCGAAGTATCCCCTAATTTTGGCTCGGGACCTCACACACGCTACTTCCCAGAATTTTTCAGGAATTTTTCGGCAACTTTTCCAAAAGTAAAATTTCCCAATAAATTGAATTGGATTTCGATAATAATTTTCGAAATTCAACCAAAATATTTTCTTGTAGATTTTGATCTCCAGAAGTTGCTTTTGGTCCTATTTCTTCGACAGCTCTTAACATTTTTCCAGAATCGCCAAATGAATTTTTGGGATTTGTCAAACAATTGTATTCCAAACCAAATATTTCCGGAATGTTGACCAGGGATCTTAAATACACTATATTTTTGGAAACGGAGCGTCGAAATCTACATCTCAGAATGTTTTAGGAATCTTTTGACAACTTCTTCAAAAACAAATTTTCTCTTATAAAAATTTCGGTCTTTTTTCAACAATTTTCTAAATTCAACAAAAAACATTTTCTTGTAGATTTTGACCTACAGAAGTTTCTTTCGAGCCCATTTCCTCCATAGATCCTACCATTTCTGTAAAATCTCCAACTGGAATATAGAAACTTTTGATTAAAGAAAAGGATTTCCAAACCGCATATTGTCAAAATTTTGACCGAGAACTATAAACACGCTATATTTCCAAATTCAACTAAAGATATTTTTTTGCTTGGATAACTCTTATTATGTTCCCGGAATCTTCAATTGAAATCAAGTAATTTATAAGGTTTTCCAAAAAAATGGATTTTCAAGCAAAATATTTCCAAAATGTTGACCCGGGACCTCACATATGTTATATTTTTGGAATCAACGCGTCCAGATCTACCTCTCAGAATTTTTATAAACATTTTTCGGAAGTTTCTCCAAAAGCAAACTTTCTCAACACAATTTTTAGTCATGAAAATTTCGAAAATCGAAAACCGAAAAATCAAAGATTCAAAAAAAACTAAAATTTAGAATAAGGAAAATTGAAAAATTAAAATGAAAACTCGAAAAACTGAAAAATCGAAATTCGAAAATTCGAACAATCGAAAAATTGTAAAACTGAGATTTCGAAAAAATCGAAAAATAAAAATGAAAATTCAAAAAGTCGAAATATCGAAAATCGAAAAATCATGGAATCAAAATACAAAAGTTGTCAATTTGAAAAAATTCGAAAAATTAAAATGAAAACTCGAAAATTCAAAAAACCGAGACATGGAGAAATCGAAAATCGAAAAATGCAGAATCAAAAAATTGAGAAATTTGAAATCGAGGACCTGAGGAATTGAGAACTAGAAAAATCGAAAAATTTGGGAAACTGAGAAAATGGGAAATCGAGAAATGGAGAAATCGAACAAACGAAAAAAAAATTAAAAAGTGAGATTTCGAAAAATCGAAAAATCGAAGTATCGAAAATGGAAAATTCGAACATCGATAAAATGAAAAATTGAGATTTCAAAAAATCAAAAAATAAGAATGAAAATTCAAAAAGTCGAAATATCGAAAATCGAAAAATCATGGAATCAAAAAAGGAAAGTTGCAATTAAAAAAAAATTCAAAAAACCGCGACATTTAGAAACCGAAATGAAAAACACAAAATCAGAAAATGAAGAAACTGGGAAATCGGGGACTCGAATCAAGAAATTGAGAATTCGAAAAATCGAAAAATGCAGAGCCAAAAATTTAAGAAACAGAAACTGGGGAAAC